ACAACACACGTCAGCGGGGCCGTAAAGTGTTATCGCCGCTCACCAGAAGGAGCGGACGCAGTTCCGGGGATGGATAGCTGGCTATTTAGCTCGGTAACATTAGCTTGAACTTCTCTGGCGTGACAGGGAGCGAGGCAGAGAGACCGTTGGACCCAGCGTTGCCATTATCCACCAGCCTAGCTTGCTAACTAGCGTACAGCTGTAGCAAGCGTTTGGCTAGTAAGCTAGGTAACGTTAGCTTGAACTTCCCCGGAGCGACAGGGAACGAGGCTGAGGGACCCAGCTGCCACTGGTCAAGTGCCTTTGCAAGCTAGCTAGGTAAGTTTGCCAAAAATAAAAGCACTGGAGGACACTTCCTGCTTGGCTGACCTCTCCTAAACATGGCAGCGGTCTTATCAAACTCAGCAAGATCCCTGTATTTCTGCAGCTGCAATCGGTGCTAGCCTTTTATACAGCCTGGTTTGTTCTTGGTGGGGTGTAATGGCCTCCAAACAGAATTTAGAACCATGACATTCATATAGGCGTAGTAGCAGCTCTTCTGGTCTGTGCAATGATGGGAATAACAGGGAGGAACTCCGGTCTGTGAACTATGAGATAGTCTGGTTAAGCAGAGCCACAATAATAAGTGTGTGTGTGTGCGTCTCCTCTGCGAGTGGTGTGTGAGGCATGCTGCCAATGAAAGCCTTGCAGGGTGGAGCACACATCAGCTGCAGCTGAACAGCTGGCCACTGCAGGCTAACATGGAGTCTAGATTGAGAAAAGGCTCGGCGTCCTCCCCCATGTTTGCCAACTGTGGGCTGGCATGGCCGCGCGCTTTCATTCAGCTGCCCGGCAATCTGGTTCCCAAAACAGGGACGGAGATTGGAACAACAACAACAAAAAAAAAAAAAAAAAAAAAAAAAAAAAGCAGGGAATGATTGGAGAAAGTATGAGATATCTAAGACAAATGAATACAAGTCCACAGAAACCCTTTCCTATTTAGAAAACTGTAGGCATCCATGAAGAGCACAAAACACCTACACCAAGAAATACAGATTTTCTTTGCAGTAATTAACTTCATTCAATTAAAAACAACCAATGACATTACAAACAAGGAAGGTGTTGACATAAGTTGGCTGGCTGGGGTTGAATGTGACAAGTGCAGGTGTGAGATGGTGCAGGTGGTGGACACAGTAAGCTGCTGCGGTATATACAGTATGTGAGGAGTCAGGATACAGCGTACCTTCCCCTCTTCATTTCTCCTGTGGCTGCAGGTCATGCCGGGGTCTCTATTTCAGCTGAAATGAGGTCACCAAACAAGAAAGAAAAGCCCAATACAAATGTTTGTCTTCTTCTCTGGCTCATGTACATTCTCAGGGAGAAAAAAGGGAACGCGGAACCGGCTGTTTCAATAAAAAGGTGCACAGGTACGCTTTCTTTTCTTTACTGTAGCTGCAGAGTGGCTGACAAACGCAAATCACTCACAAGTTGAAGAGGTCTTAGATTTCACGAGGCCCACCTTGAACCATTTTTCTGTGTGTAAGATTAAACTGTGTTTTGAGTATGTGTTAACGCTATCTGTCTGATCCAATCTGTTCCTTAAAGGCCTCAATCAGTCATGTGCACTTTGGCTCTGGGGGGGGGGGGGGGGGGGGG